GGATAAACGAAGTCAAATAGGATAACAATCACAACAATCTTACCAAAATGTTGTGAGCAGGGATACATAGAGGAAGAACTAAGTATGAAGCAATATACTAAGTTGCTAACTAGAAGGCATCAACAACACACAGGTGTATTTGAATTTGTTTTGATTGAAAGATAAACTTGAAATGTTGGTGGAGCAGATAACGAACTTCCCAGCAGTGAAAATATTTCGGACAGGAAAGAGCGAGAAATTTAAAGTAGGAAATAGGAAATAGGAAATAGGAAATAGCTATTTTAGGGTACTTACTTTGCCAAAAGGTATCCAAGTGAATTTACAAATTAAATGTCTTAGCTTATAATAGAAAACTGCTAATTTATTTAATAACATTCATTAAATGAGGATGAAAATTGTAATATCAAGTAACTGATCACAGTTAACGCTGCATATAAATAGAATTTATCAAAATTTTGTAGAGATATAGGATGATGTAAATAATAATTTAATTAAGTGAGTATTCAGTAATGATAACTCAGAATGGTAACAAGTGGATTATTGTTACATAGCTGCACAACTTTACAGTTGTCAAAATGCTTCCTGAGCAAGTGAAAAGCTGATCATCACAAGTATGACAAACTATGAACTTCAAAATGTTCAAGCAGAGATGTTGAACATGTCAAACATTATACATGTATATACAGTTAAACATCAATCAACAAATGACATCCTGAGAAAGATATGGTTCAGAATGTTAACAAAGTTCACTCAATGGTCACTATTCACAGGGGCGGTCGGGTAGCCTAGTAGTTAAAACGTTCGCTCGTCACGCCGAAGACCCGGGTTCAATTCCCGACATGGGTACAATGTGTGAAGCCCATTTCTGGTGTCCCCCACCGTGATATTGCTGGAATATTGCTAAAAGTGGCGTCAAAACCATACTCACTCACTCACTGTTCACTGATCAAAACCAATCAAAGGTTCCTTTGTGAACAAAACGTCAAAATACTTGTAGATCACGGTTAAAACATGAAGCAGTCACACTTCAAGGAATTGGAGGAAGCACACCAATACAGACGAAAAGTTCAACTCCGTAAATAGGTGATGATCACTGACAATTGCAGATTACAAAATTTAATCATATTGTCAAAGTTATAGCTCACTGACACAAACACAAGTCACCATATGGAAAAGAAACATCCTAAATTCAAGATAATGGATTCTTCAAAGATGGTGTGGAAGAAGGATAACCCCCAGAACATGTTGAAAGCAACGGATTTGATGAAACCTTTGTCCAGAGTTACAGCCAACGGCCCAACGTTGGGCACCAAATTTCTAGGAGGGTGGTGTATTTGATCCAGCTAAGGCCTTTGGAGAACACAGACACAGGCAGATGATGATTATGCTCTTATTAAATTATGGGGGTGGCTGCTGTTGAAGGAATAACCTGAAGAAAAGGACATATACTTCCTCCTCATCAACAGCACATGAAGTCAGGTATTTATATTAACAGAGAAGTACAAAGCCATTTTGTAACCATAATAAAACAAGTAGTAGTTTAGCATTGAAGTTATATGACACTTGAAAAAGCACATGGGCCAAAACGGACCATGTGGTTATTTATTTTACAAATTACTTATAATATTAAGACTTCATTTACTAATTTAATTTTACTTTAAATGATATTATATATATTTTTTCAATTTAATCCAGCACCCTAATATAGATACTATTTTCTGACAGAGGCAGATGAAAACAGATTGAAAAGTGGCCTTTCCATACAGAACACATCCTTCCTCCTCAACAGCAGCACATGAAGTGAGCAGGAAGTCAAGTATGGAAGGAAGCTGCCTGTAGAGGACCAGGGTGGCCAATAAGAAGACAGATTGCATTAAGCATCAAAGGAAGTGCTTAGTGCAAGGTATAAATAGACTGAGGGAAACCCTACAGGTGTAAAAAGAAATGTCTAAAGATAGACAGAAGGTTAAAAGGGAAGATCTGGTGAGAGATTCCCAGAGACTGAAATAAAGAGTTATTTATGACATTCAACTGAAGACAAGACAAACAATGAACATATAGATGATGATGATGATGATTAATGTATGAACAAGAGGCCCATAGGGCCTGTATTGCTCACCTGGATATTTACGCAATCATGACAAAATATACATTTGCATTGTACATGTAGATAATACTGCAAATATACTCACACGCAAAAGAAACGCAAGTCGAGTATGCAGTATACATGTTATTTATTTTCAACAGTAAAGACAAGAAACACTAATAGGGCAAGATTGACAAAATTTTGACTGAAGACAGTTTAATGGTTTAAAAGGCAGATGACATAATTGTTTTTTTCAAATGTTAAGAGCTTGCACAGTTCGGGTCAATACCCAAAATGTCAGTCAATACCTGGTGTGACCACCATTAGCATTGATCACTGCCACACATCTCCTGTACATTGAGTGGATCAGACGATTTGTGAAGGCCCTAGGGATCCTCCTGCATACATCCAGAGCAGCTGTGCATTGTTCATCGGCAGTTGTAGGGACTGGGTGCACATTGTGCAGACACCTTTGAACCTCATCCCACAAGTGTTCGATGGGGTTCAGATCAGGGCTGAGGGCTGGCCACGGTAGAACATGGATGTTGTGTTTTGCAGAAAGGCCATGGTAGCTCTGGCAACATGGGGACGAGCGTTGTCCTGCTGGAAAATGTGTTGTTGATGTTGTGCAAAAAATGGAACAACGTGTGGTGTGATCACTTGGTTGATATAGCGCTGAGCAGTGACGCCGTGTCCCCGACCTTGACCAACATTCAGAAAGCACATGGGTCTAAGTCTCACACTAAGTCCAATCCCTGCCCATATCATGACACTAGGTCCACCCCATGGCTCCCTTTCCACAACATTTCTGTCAGCGAAACGATCACCTCGACGCCGCCAAATTCTGACTCTTCCATCTGCATGGGAGACACAAAAGCGACTTTCATCAGAGAAGATGACACGCCTCCACTCACTATGACGCCAATTGCGATGACCCTGTGCCCACTGAAGTCGTGCTTGTCGATGCCGTGGTTGGAGAACAGGACGACGTGCTGGTGGGCGACATCTGAGGTTGTTGGAACGGAGACGTCGGATCACAGTGTCCTGGCTAATGTGTTGATTATGTGTTCCTATGGTCTGTCGAGCACTTTCACTTGCAGTTAGGAATGGATGTCGCTGGTTTTGACGGGTAATCTGCCGATCTTGTCTAGGTGTGGTGACCCTAGGACAACCGCTCCAAGGAAGGTCATCTGTGCCCTGTGTAGCATTGTATCGATGCAGGAGATGGTAAATTGTGGTTATGTTAACATTGAAATGACGGGCAACAATTGGACAGACTCTCCAGCTTCCAAACGTCTGATATCCTGGTTTCTCTGAATTTGAGTTAGGCATGGCATTGTTGACCAAGGAGTGGTAGGTCCAAGAATCGGCCACAGTTTTATACCCACTACAGTTCGTGCATTTTCGATTTCGCGAGAAATGGGTGCATGATACCCACATATTCATTGAAATGGTGCGTTTTGGCGTTTCGTTTTTTATGTTGCGTTTTTACTCGGAGCTTCCAAAATGCAAACAAAAATATTGATAACACCATCAGACTTCACTACATGCTAAACCTCGTATCAATTTATGGTTCCGTGTTTGTTACCTATTTGCTTAAAACCACTTGCGTTTCTTTAGCGTGTGAGTATATATTGTAATTTTGACTGTCTACCCTTGGGGGGTGATCAGCCCTTTCATTTGCACAATTTTGAATTCTCACCACCAGAGAATGCTTCCAACCATATATGGATGATATCTATCTCTTAGTTTCAGAGAAGAAGTTGCTTGAAGCAATATAGCCAAATTACCCCTATTTGGCCCCCGCCCCTTTGAGGGGTCAGCCCCACCATTTGTACAATTTTGAATCCCCACCACCTAGGGTTGCTTCCAACCAAATATGGTTGATATCTATCTCTTAGTTCCAGAGAAGAAGTGGTTCAAGGCAATATAGCCAAATTACCCCTATTTGGCCCCCTTCAGACCCGGTGAGCTAATAATGATGTAAATAGCAATAATATAATAAAGGTAACAAACTACCCTGCTACAAAAACATGATAGTATTTGTGTATTGGCTGAAGCAAAGTTAAATAGCATTGGGGTTCATATCCCAACAGCACTGGCTGATTGTAAGATATCCGAGAAGGAGTTTCATTTAGTGTTAGAACTCACCAAATACAACGCAATGAAGCAGGAGATTCGATCAAATTCTCATAAGACCAGTGGCATTAGTGAAGACGAGAAAATAAGTTCATAGAACAGGGAAGACAACAAGCGCACCAAGCATTCCATGCCAAAAGCAAAGAACTGGTTGGAGATTAAGAATAAATTGTTTCCTCGATATGCATCTTGATACATGACGATCATTGGATCGCATCGCATAATTTGCATTAAAAAAGACCTCCATAGAAGCATTGATAGGGTTGAGACCTGGTCCAGGTGGGTTGCGGCAGAATCCTACTGGTGAAGTTGACAGTTGTAATTATAGAATGTTACTTTGATTGTGTGTTGTCATAGTGTTTTAGGAATGATTGTGAAGATGATCGTTTGTCAGTTGCATGATGAAATTCTAATGAATAACGTTTACCTAAAGCAGCGAGTTCTGTTGTCTATAGATATTATTATTTAGAAACTGAAAACCATTTGATAAAAAAACATTGGACCTTCCAGTAAGTAAACCTATACATACATACATGCATACATTCATTTGGCATAGTTTTTTAAACTGGAAGTAACAACTATGCTATTAGAGCAACGGTTTTCTGGAACAAAAAGTGAAATAATAATCAAAGTAGTATTGCTTGATCATACACATGTGTACATGAGCAGGTATGTAGATAAATGTCACATCTTATCCATTAGTCTTGGCTGACAGATTTCCACAATGAGTATTAACAGTTCACAGGCGCCCTTTAAGCATTTGTACATAACCTACCAATGCTGAGCCAATCATTTCTCCTCCCTTCTCTCCAAACTCATTGTGACTAAGGTCCAGACAGGTCAGGGACATGTTGTTCTTTAGAGCCTCTACGAAGTTACATGCATCTCTATCTTGCAGCTGATTACCTGGAATCAATTATATATGAAATCAATGCAAGAAGAAATCTGCTAGAAATTATTTAATATGTCCCAAATTCAATCATAGTTGAAACAAATGTAAGTGAACGGTGCAAGAATGTTTTGTCTCTCAACACACCAATCAACATTCACATCCTCTAAGTTGCCAACTTTCATTGATTGGCAATGGATCCAGTTTGTCTGATGTGTATGCTCACAAAACGACAGACTTAATATTGGATATCTTCTATCCATCTGTCCTAATGCATGTTCATCTCATTCTTTGAAGGTTACCTCCACCTCAGTTTGGATTGGTTTCAATGGAGGATATGATAAGAGCCTATTTGGAACACTGTATATGTCAAATATGAAACAATAGTTATCATTGTGTTTAATTCTACAACAACACTATTACATCAATTTAATGTATTAAATTCCAATTTAGAGGCCGAATCACACATAAAATCCGTAGATTTTGCACTACAGACATCCTAATCAGCTGCCAGCTGGCCTAAGTTCAAAGTCAACTGTTCAAAAAGACCAATTGCACCGCAAGGTGGGAAAACATCACTTCTTTCCAATAATCCACATCCTAGATGTAGATATATTGGGGAGGTGGGGGAGACTACAATGCACAGATTTCCCGCAGATATACGACTGAGAAGGGTTTGGATTCAAAGGTGCAAACTTGTCCGTTCCAACTTTAGATATTCAAGACATGACAGCACCAGGTCATGCTCAGAACACCTTGACAGACAGCAGGGACCGAGTAAACTTCATCCTTTGCCAACTGTTTTTCCAAACAAGACATTCAAACTTTCGGTAAGTTTGTTAGATATACAGATGAATCATACCTTAGACCCTGATGTTATTTTGTTTGTTCCAGTCATTTTGGTGCAACCAAAGTGTTATTGTTAAAGCAAGTTATTTCATTAGCATGATTAGGCTGCTCTACTACTTTAGGAGCCAAGATCCACATATGGTACATAATTAGATCAAGTACTGAGTTTAATGTTTATTTTAGTCAGGATAAATTTGGCTTTAATTAACGTAAATTCCATATAAAATTTATACATTATTATACATGACTCATAAAAACATTTTGGTAAGTATGCATGGTAACCTTAACCCTTTCAATATTTTTAATAAATTCCTCCAACATTTAGTGTGGCAATTCATTCCTTCATTTTTGGTTATTTTTATTTTCTTAATTCTTGAAAATTTGATAACATTCTTTTCCTGAATAAGTACATATATTTCTGAAAAACATCCCAGCTGATGTTTGATTATTTCATCTTCTTCTACAGAATGTGTCCCATCTTGTGTCTGGAACCACATGCAAGACTGTTTTGGATCACACTATTGTCTGGAACCACGTACAAGACTGTTTTGGATCACGGTATTGGCGAGGATCTACACGTTGAAAATGTTGATGAGATTGCTTCACATATGGAGGATACAAATCTTTGTGATGTGTCTGCAGAGTATTCACGTATGCCTGCAGGAATTGTATCAAGACTTGAACGTTCCCTCAGTCATCATGGCTTCTGTGGTTCTCAAACATTGACCAGTCTTTATGTTAATAAATGTACCCAAACATTTTCAGAACCAGTCACATCAGCTGGAAGACAGACATTAGGTAATGAAATTATCTATTGTAATGCAAGCACTCAAACAGATGAATCATCAACTCACAGTGTTGGTATTCAAGCTGACAAATCAACACTGACCTATGAGAATATCAGGTGCTCTAATGAAAGTGTTATATTTACACTGGAGTGCCAGATTCATCAACATTTGAGGCTTTGTTTGATGAAATGCAGGGTGATGAGCAGATTTACTCTGACACATCTGATGGTGGGAGGCCACATGTTATGAGACACATTGATGAATTTTTCATGATTCGCATGAGACTGAGATTAGGTCTGTTACTAAATGATTTAGCACACAGGCGGCTGATGATGTGGGAGGCTTTTCCTATTAACGGAAGGATGCTGTTTAAGGGTCGCAGGTCTGGGTGTGGGATGGAGTACAGAGGTGATGACTTTGTCGACGAGATTGGGTGAATAATTGTTGAGGTGGGTGAAGACACATCATCAGCCGCCTCCTCAAACAGCAAGCCAACATCGACACCCACTTCACCAGTTCCAACTCCCTCAACACCCTGCTAAGAGCCAACGGCAGGAACACAACCAAACCCCTAGAGCGTAAAGGTGTAGTTCACCAAATCCTCGCCAACAACCTCCATGATTTCACTAAAAGAAAACTAACAGAAGCGGTCCACATTTGCCGCCACAAGCCATCAATCAACAGAGATCAAGGCTATTTCATCCCATCCGCCTACTATGAACTCATCAAACAATAATCACTTATCCTGTTTATTGGCTTCATGTCCCTATTGGCTTCCACCTATGTGTTCTCTGCATGTCCATCGTGTTGTGACAGCATCATCCCTTTAGTAGTATAGGTAATGATGGTTCTGGACCACTTCCACTGGACCCAGATTTATAAACCTATACTGCTACTACAGATGGAATTTTTTATGCCAAAATGACTATGCGATTCAATGATAGTCATAAGATTAAGTTAAATTGACTCCAGCTCACCACCACCTGGAGTCTATGATATAAATTTTTATAGGTAATGATGGTTCTGCCGCAACTCCACTGGAGCCGGATTCATATACCTATACTGCTACTACAGGGGGGATTTTTTATGCCAAAATGATGATGCGATTCAACGATAGTCATGAGTCGTATTAAAAGAAACATCAATATTAATTAATAATGAATAAAATTTACTATAGCCCACGAGGATATTGGAAAGGTATAGGTGCAATAAAAAAATTAGCCACTGCGGCTAAGGTATCTAAAGATGTGGCCAAGGATTGGTTAAAGAAACAAGCGATGTGGCAAATATATTTACCGGCACCGCGTTATATACCGAGGAAGAAGTTTGATATTTTTACAACGAATGAAGTTCATCAGCCTGACCTCTTGTTTCTTCCCCACGATAAGGTAAAACGCAAAACGTATAAATACGCTTTAACAGTAGTGGATGTGGCTAGTCGATACAAAGAGGCTGAGCCATTAACCTCGAAAGAATCAACAGAAGTAGCTAATGCACTGAGCCGCATATATAAACGCGGACCACTAAAATGGCCTAAGCTATTTCAAGTAGATCCCTGTCGCGAATTTATGGGATCGATAACAAAACTGTTAACAAAGCACGATGTCAAAATCAGGCATGGTGAAAGAGAGGCCCACCGCAGTCAAGCTCGAAAGATTTAACAGGACATTAGCGGAACGTTTGTTCGGCTATCAGTAGGGGATCGAAATGAAATCCGAGCGATTGAGATCAACCGAATGGGTGACACGATTATCAGCCGTTGTATCAGCGCTGAATAATGAAGTAACAAGATTAATAGGGAAGAAACCATCCGATGCGATTAAAATCAAAATTCGTGACTTCCGAATCTTCAGCACCGAGGAGAGGCAAAGAACGAAAACTTCCGGATAGAGTAAGGGTAAGATATTTATACCAGCCCGGTGAACTCGAAGGAGGCCTACGTCGCGCAACCGATCCCATATGGTCCCTTAAGACATATAACATTAGTTGATTGGTTACGAAAGAAGGGGAGCCTTTTCTTTATTATCTTCAAGATGAACCGGGTAGGGCATTTGTACGAGAAGAGTTGTTCATAGTTCCCAATGGTAAGGTATTATCACCATAACCATAAGCATAGGTAGTTACACCATCATTATCAATCCATCTCTTTGTATCTAAGGGGGATAATGATGTCTTGTTCATTCTTAATCCATATATCCTATGATTGTAACTTCTTAAAGAGTTCATCTCGTGTTTGAACGTTCTACTGTTGAATAATGATTCTTTATACTGTTCGTGTTTGATATGCTTTATTACCACATACTTCTTAACACCCTTAGCTTTTCTTATCTCTCCATTATCGGACTTCTTTATAGAATACATCTTAGGTCTTAATCCTACATACTCCGCTATAGGGGTCCCAGCACATTCATCCTTCATCTTACCTAACACCTTTTTATTTACTACGCTGTGCAGTGGATTATCTTTTGGGTAATCGCTCGTGTCGTACATATCTATTTTTTCTGCCATATCTTTATACACATCCTCGGTTTGTATTTCCATCAACAAAGAATCTGTGTCGGTATATAACACCTCACATCTATCGCCGTATTGCTTCTTTTTATTCGTTGTAATAAAATTCATACATTAAGTGTTTTGACAAGTCGAGAATACTCATACCGACGTACACCGGTCTGTTGAATTTTATATTACTCTTCTGCATATGCAACGTGGCTAAGTCGTTATCGAATATCTTGCTTCTGTTAAAAGCCGGACTGGCTATAAGTTTCCTGAGTCTTTCTTCCTCATTAGATCTGACTAATTTAACATCAACACGCTTCCTTAGATTCTCCATAGTTTTACCAAATACCGAGTTATTCATGAGCTTATACAGATTCTTTTCAAAATCGCTGGTAGCTATCTTTCTTAAATCTGTGTTCAACCTTATATAGGGCTCCATCCAAGGGCTTTGATCAAACTTTAGAACTCTGTGTATTTTCTTAAGTTTCATACCTAACGATAGATACAACTGGAGATTTCTGTAGTGAACTATATATTTTGTCTTATCCATCAAATTTGGTACGAGTTTTTCTACGTTAGCTAACCTACTATTACCTATCAAGGAGTGTTGATATTCCGACATCCAATCTTTATTAACCATTAATCTTTCGGGGAGCTAGCGGATAACTGTTATGGTCTTTCTGTAACGAACTTGGATATTCCATGTCAACTTCTAGTATGTACCCTTTATTCGTATTATTCACATTGATATTATGGATATCATTCACTTCGATATCATCGACCCACTCAAAACCACCAGTGGGTAAAGGTTGACTCATAGCCCATCCGTACAAATTGTTGGCGTCGAGATATAATATGTGCGTGTCGGGTTTACTCGGATCATATCCTTCCACTAATTTATTATTAGCCTTAGAATACCTTTTCGCCGCCATCGATATACCACCTCTTAATCCTTTCTCAATAAACAAGTGCATATCGTAATCTGTGAGTAGTTTTAGTTCTACACCGGTCTTCTTCAACAATGCATCCCACGATAGTCCGGGACTGGAATAGTACCATGCCGGATCCAAGCCGTATTGTTTTAAACATGTCTTTCTAAATATCTCGAATATATCGACGAGTAACAGTACATCGGTTTTTAAGTACAGATCGTGATAATCGCCTAAATTCTTACAACCTAATTTATCGCAGACCGTCAGAGCATGTTCATAATCGGCATCTGTTATTTTAGATTCTGTTAAGTTACTATAGAATGATTTGAGGGGTGGTAATTCAGTTTCTTCGAATCTAGACCAATCATCCAATCATCGTAAGGATATACACCTTTTCTCAGCAACAAATGACGAGTTATCTTATCGGTATATTTATTTGTTATCGCGAAGTCATCGGGATTGTTCGCATTAGCTAAATTGTCCAGGGAAGATAACAGAAACTGTACGGAGTCTATGAATCTAAGCCCATTACTTTGCTTTATTCTAGATTTCCCATCCTTGTCCCTATAATGTATAGGTTTAGTCAACGAGAACGATATGTATTTTTCCATATTATTAGGAATGCACGTTAAACCGCCGTCGGTCTTTGAGATAGCTTGCATAATGAGATGTGAATTGTATCCCCTAAGGTTGTGAAACACAACGGGGATGGGTATTGTTTGAGAATTCATTTTAAGTTTCAAGTTACACTCGTTATGCGCGGCTCCCCGATAATTACCCGTGACGTGACAATGATCTCTTACGGAATCCCCATCCAGAGGTTTATTACAAACATGACAACTCGTTGACTTCTTATAGGCCCTCCAATCATCCCTCGTCATACACATGGGTTTCTTACACGATAATTTTTCCCTGATTATTCTCTCTTCATTTTGTAGATATTCTAGGAACTTTCCCGCTGCATCGGGACCTCTGTAAATCACGGGCGGGTTTGTTTTCCCATCATACCTTACAACTATATATCCAAACCCACAAGGAATATGTTCTTGAGTTTTGTACGTAAAACTATTATCAGTATTGCTACGGTTGGTATTTTCTATGGGCTTGATAAGCGCTTCGAAGTCGGCGTAAATTACGTACGGTACTGGCATTTGATTACAATAATGTTCAAATTTTAATACATTTTTTCCCTCTTTAGGCATATCGATCCTGATAGCGGTCTGTCCAACACCTCTACAGTCTTCTTTTATGCGCTTCTTGTCTGCTGTACCCATGTAGGCATCTTTCACAGAAATATTTCTTTCTAGCATGTTTTGTTTGATCGTATAATAGCCTGTTTAAACTCTTTATCCACGTATAATGATATTTTCCATCTTTTTCGATCAGAAATGAATTGATTCTGGGGATATGTTCCGGAGCGGAGCTTATCCTGTGTACAACAATTCCTTTAGAATGTCCGAAAACATTTATAGCTAAATTATTTTGCTTTTCCACCTTAACAATTTGTGATATTGGTGTAGGTTCGTCTATACCATCGAAGTTGAGTCCATCGTTTTGGGGATAGCTAGAAGGTCTATCCGGATGCTTGTCTACGGGGAACAATGCAGATCTTATCATCATTCTTAAACAGTCATCGGATTTATTTTTTACATTAATTATGGCTTTTTTATTCTTATAATACGGGGGTAAATCTATATAAGAACCACCTTTGAAGGGCATATAATTTGCTATATCTAAATATAAACTATCGATTTTATCCACACCCCCAACCCGAACCTCTATTAGTCCAGCGTTCTAAAGTTTCCTGTATTATCTGAATTGATGTATCTAATGATGCGTTTATAGTATCGGATTCGGTTATAACTTCTTGATTGCTACGGAAACATGGTTCGGTATATTTGGTGCTATAGTCTGTGTTACTTTTACTCAATAACATTTTTATCGTCAGCTGGTATTTTATACTATGTAAATCATCTAACTCCTCGTTAATTTTACTCAATATGATGGGCTTAATATCGTTAACATCCATGTTGGAATTAATATCCATCTTCCAACCTCTTAGATATTTACCAACGCTGGCGGATATGGGTACAAATATTAATTCTTGTTGTTCATTAGGTTGATTATTATCTAGGAAAGCGATCAATTCAGCTC